TGGCCTGCTGTGTTCATCCAGCCCTGCACCTTGTTGTCTCTACTTTTCAGCTAATTTGATTCAATCCAATGATATCAAGAAACTTTTGGAGTCAATGGGTACTGCAAAAACTATGGACCCTGACAACATTCCAGTAATAGTACTGAAGACTTGCTACATTACTAAGAAAGCTGTTCCAGTGCAGTTAATTATCTGCCCAACAAAGTGAAAATTCACCCAGGTATGTCCTGTATAAAAAAGGGGACAAATCCAACCCAGTCACTTACCACCCCACCAGTCTATTCTTGTTAATCTGTAAGCTGATGGAAGGTGTCATCAAAAGTTAAGTTTTCCCCTTACTGATTAAGAACCTCTCTGTCTTAAATTCACTCAGACTCGGCTTCCACAGCCTTCTGCAGCAATGAGTTCCAAAGATTAACTACCTTCTCGCTGAAGACATTCCTCCTCATCTCAGTTCTAAAGGGTCATCCCTACACTCTGAGTCTGTGCCCTTGGGTCCCAGTCTCTCCGACTAGTGAAAACATCTTCTTCAGGTCCACTCTATCCAGGCCTCTCAGTATTTTGTAAGTTTCAATGAAAGCCTGCCCTCATCTTTCAAAACTCTGTTGAGTACGGACCCAGAAACCTTGACTGCCCCTCATAGGACAAGCCCTTCACCCCCAGGATCATTCTTGTAAATCTCCTATGGACTTCCTTCAACACCTACACATCCTTGCTTGGATATGAGGCCCAAAACTGCTCACAATATTCCAAGTGCGGTTTGACAGCAGCCATACAGATCCTCAGCAGTACATTTCTGCTTTTGCATTCTAGCCTTCTTGCAATGAATGCTAACATTGCATTTGCCTTCCAAAATGCCAACTGACCCTGCATGTTAACCTTCAGAGAATCATCATGGAAACTGGATCTTCAGGTCCCATTGTGCTTCACATTTCTGAAGCCTTTCCCTGTTTAGAAAATAGTCTATGTCTCTAACCAAAGTGCGTAACCTCACACTTTCCTACATTGCATTCCATCTGCCACTTCTTTGCCCACTCTCCTAGTGAAGTCCTTCTGCACCTCTCCCTGTTCAATGTTGTTATTATGCATCTCTGGAGCAAGTCGGGGTTGAACCTGAGCCTTCTGGCTCAGAGATAGGGACACTACCAATACATCACAAGAGCGCTTAGTTCCTCAGGCCCAACCACCTTCAGCTGCCTCAATGATCTTCTCTCCATCATCAGGTCAAAAGTGGGAATGTTTACTGATGATTACACAATGTTCAGCACGTGACTCCTCAGATACCGAAGCAGTCCATGTCCAAATGCAACAAGACCTGGACAATATCCAGTCTTGGCTGAAAAGTGGCAACTGGCATTCGTACCACACAACTGCCAGACAATCTAATTGCCGCCCTTTGACATTAAAGGATCTTGCCATAACTGCATCCTTCACTATCAACATCCTGGGAGTTACCATTGACCAGAAACTGAAGCAGACTTGCCACATAAATACAGTGGTTATAAGAGCAGGTTAGATGCTAGGAATATTGAAGTGAGCAACTCATCTCCTGACTCCACAAACCCACTATCCATACAGTTTAACTCAAGAATGTGATGAATACTCACGACTCGCCCACATGAATGGAACTGCAAGAATGTTCAAGAAGCTTGACACCATCCAGGACAAAGCAGCCTGCTTAATTGTTTGTGAATGGGGTGCCATTCAGTCACTCCAGTACTGACATGCAGAGGCGGTAGTGTGCACTATCTAGAAGACAGTACAGCAAGATGCACTGCAGAAATTCACTAAAGATTCTTTGACAGCAACTTCCATACCCATGACCAATACCATATAGAAGGACAAGAGCAGCAGATATGTGGGAACAACATCACTTACAAAAGTTCCCTTCCAAGTTACTTACCAGCCTGACTTGGAAATGTCTTGCATTTTCTTCAGTGTCACTGGGTCAAAATCCTGGAATTCCCTCCTTAAAATCAATGTGCTTTTGCCCAGTGTGAAAAATTGCAGTGGTTCATGAAGGTAAGTAATTCTGGCCTATCCAGCGATGTCCAAATTCCATGAGTAAATTTAAAAAAAAATGCAGTCCATCAGGTGTACATGCAACCATGGTGTTGTTAAGTATAGAGCATCATTTGTTTGTGTTATTGATAAGTAACACATTAACTTGTGTGGATTTAGTTTACTTGAAATTCCAGCACAGGTTTAACAGCTCAGACTACAACTGTGTGCAACCTCCTTCTAGCTTACTTCTGCTGGTTTGTACATAATAGCCATGATGTGGAGGTGCCGGTGTTGGACTGGGGTGGACAAGGTCAGAAGTCACACAACACCAGGTTATAGTCCAACTGGACTATAAATAAATTTGGACTATAACCTAGTATTGTGTGACTTCTGACCTGGACATAGCAGTTAGTCAGGTCATTACATCCTGATCCTTGTTTCATTACCACATCCAATTCTTGCAGGTGGCTGTCCCTGTTCTTCTAGATGGTGGAGACTGCATACTTGTAAGAGCTGTTGAGAAAGCTTCACTGAGTTGCTGCAGTACATTTTGTAGATGGTAGAATCAAGTGTTGCATTTTCCTGGATGTTGTCGAGCTATGTGAGAGCTGGCCTCACCCAGGCAAGCAGAGGGATTTCCGAGAAATATAATGGTGTGATCACTGGTACCCAACAACTACAGTCATGTTCCTCTGTGTGTATTACTCCAAGCAATGTAGGATTTTTTTTACTTTAATCTCCATGAACTTCAATGTTTCTACGATTCCTTAATTTCGCACTGGGTTAAATGCCACCTTGATGTCAAGGACAGTTAATCTCAGCTCACCTTACCTCACCTCAGGAATTTAGCTCTTAATATTGTTGTGAAATGCTATCAACAGAAGGAAGTAAGGAGTGCTAATTAATATAGATGTTTGTTACAGAAACTGAACTCATTAACAAATTAACATTTGTATTAAAATTTTATTACAAATTTCAAATGATGAAATATATAATTATGTCAATAATTTATTACAAGTTACAACATCTAAAGTATCGACAAAAATGTAACTGACAAGAATAGCCCCAAAACTTGTTACAGGTAATACAAGCTACTAAATTGTAGCAGTTTTAAGCACAATAATTTTCACATTATAGCATACAGTAGGTTAACCTCCATGGCTCTCTGGACCTGTATTTATAGTTCAATTGAATAATTACCAACTATCACAGCCAATCTCCTATTTTCTGCAATCCTCAAAGCAGTATTTACCACTATAACAAGTGCTCTGTTATTCTAAAGGAAGAAATCATTAATAATAGAAGACAACAATTTCAGGTTTGGATTCATAATTCAGACCTGTACGCTGTCTATTTTATTGTAAAATGCAGTTCTTTCCACATCGAGACAAGTGTCAATGTTTTCATTGGAGTATCAATGTTTAGTCAAGAACAGTGATATTCAAAAAAAAAGAACAAATGCAGATACTGGAGATCTGAAACAAAAACAGAAATTGCTGAAGAAACTCGGGAGGTCTGGCAGCATCTGTGGGCTGAAAGCAGAGTTAACATTGCGAGTCTGGCAACTCTTCACATATTCATAAAAATGTTTTTGTGCAGATTAATGCTGGGGAATGGTGCACCCTCCAATTCAGATAACCAGGGTTAGCATTATGTATCAGCAAGTCAGGCATAACAAATCAGGCACAGAGCAAAGCTCTCTCCCACCATTCCCCAACAATGTACCTCACAAGAGCACTCTCCATTGCATCAGTCTGATATTTTTTCTCATTTTCCACATCAACTATCCTTTGCCTGACTGGAGGCAGTGGCAATGTTACATTGCTTATGCCCAGTAGAAACTAGATTAAGACTAGTGAAGTTGATTTATTTTAATTTCTACAGCCACCTGACAGAGGAAAATTATCTTGTCAGTTTGAGTTGCTCGCTAGATTTGAAAAGGTAGTGTCTAACTTATGACACCACTGAGTTCCAACGACCATTGATTTTTTTTCTTTAGGTCATTCTAAACTTTGGGAAAAGGCAAGGGAAGTAGAAAAATATCACAATTTCATAAAACATAGTGAACAAAGTTAATGTGCCAACATGTAATAAAACAATTATAAATTATTTCACTCTTCTACTTCAGTAAAGTTCAGAAGTGTTTCATCCTAAAAATAAGTATTCATACAAAGTTGACTGAAATGGTGTTTTACTAAATTATCCATTGGATGACTAATGGAAATATTGGGCAAAACAGCAAGTACTGTAGATGCTGGAATCTGATATAAAAAGCACGAAATGCCAGAAATGCTCAGATGAGGCAGCATCTGTAGCCAGAGTCAACGTTTTAATCATCAACAGCACTAAATTTTTCAGGTCTTTGACTTTCTAAGAAACTTGGCAAAGTTGAGATATAACAGGTTCTAATTAAGTACAGAGTTCAGGGAAAGAAATTGGGGAGAAAGGAAGGTAAGAAAAGAAACAGAAGGAATGGTCTGTGATAAAGGTGGAAGACACGAATAATTAAATGACAAATGGAATGACAATGCACATTAAAGAAAATCGTAATGGGACAATTGAAGGAACCAAAGGCAGATCAATAAGACCTGTAAAAGGTACCTGCTATCTAATTAAAAATAAGCACAGCAATGGTTTAAAATTATTGAAGTCATAGTAAACTCACAAGGATGTAATGTGCTCAATTGAAATAGGAGGTGTTCTGATTTGGGATTAAATTGAGCTTCATCAGAACTTTTAAGGATACTTAGTACAGAGACGCTAGAGTGAGAGTGGGGAGGTGAATTAATATGCAGTTACTGGGCAATTGTTACTTCCTATTCAATATACAGAATATAGCATTTCTCTGCAATGTTAAAGCATGACATTACTTAGGTTAAAATTGCACAATTTGTTTTCAAGAAATTGTCTCATTGTTCCAATACTGCTGAGGTGAATAAAATTGGACCCGTAATTTTCATTTGTACATAACTGGAATTTTGTTTCAATAATGAACAGAACACAGTCTGAAGCTCTTACTGTGAAGCAATCACAAACATTTAAAGCTAGTAACCAAATTTTCCAATATATTTGCAAATAAAAAAACTGCCTGTGTATGTCTGTGTACATAATCAATGAAAATTCTGACCAATGGTTAATAGATTAAAAAAAATTACACGTAGAAGAAAATACTTCATTTAAAATTCTTTAGTTGAAATACTACATTCATTTTAAAAATAATGTTTATATTCACTCCCAGGATGTGGGCCAGGTTGCTGGGAGATGGGTTGAGAATCAATCACATTGCTGTGGGTCTGGGTCACATGTAGGCCAGACCAGCTAAGGATGGCAGATTTCCTTCCTTAAAGGGACATTAGTGAACCAGATGGGATTTTCCTGACAATCAACAACAGTTTCATGGTCATCACTAGACTTTGAATTCCAGATTTCCACGCAGAATTTGAACCCGGGTCCCTACGTTAATAGTTCAGTAATAATACCACTAAGTCTCCCTTAATTTAACATATTGTATTAAAATGTAAAAACAATTTAATTGTAATGCAATAACAAATCCAATCACCAACTACCAACATAATACAAACACTTCAAAAACTACTCTGCTCCTCAGCCTCTAACACTTTGAGAGCCTCAAAAGTACATGTGACACTGATAGTGTCAATACACAAAGGTTTGCTCATTTCTTTCTTCTGCAAAATATCTTAGGATTTTAATCTACGTTAAATGACCGTGTACTGACTGTTATTTTTTCATATACTAAATACAAATCTAAGGTAAGTTACCTTCTATCCTAATACAATATCATATGTGATGGAGTGTGACGCCTCCCTGGAATAATAGGGTATTTCTAGACATAAACATGGCAGTTAGTCCACTGCATTATATTCATGATGTGAAAAAGCTCAAGACCCTTTGGGAACAGATTTTATGCACAGAATTATCCCTATTCAGCATAATGAATTTCTATTCCATTGATCTCATGAATGGAGGTAGTTATTTTAGGTATTTAGTTCATCAGAATAGCAGCGTTTATGCTGATCAGAAATGCTGGGTCAGTGGGGTATTTTAGCAACTTTTAAATAGAAATCTTTTCAAAGTGTACAGTCTTAGCTCATTAGCTAATTTGAGGCTGAGGAGCAGAGTAGTTTTTGAACCAAGCAAGAAAAATTGTTCCCAACACCATAATATATAGTTACTCCACTTTCATGACTACACCTCCCCACCTCCACTATCAACAAGTACAATGTCTAAAATGGGCTCCAGAAGACCAAGAAAGTAATGGACATTTTAAATGTGTTGTGATTGTTAATTCTAGATAGTTAAATTATGACAACTTAGCTGCAAATGTAGAATCTTAAGTCCTTGTGGGGGTCTGAGTTGGCTCGCACTAAAAGATACAATTATTTTAAAACTCTGAATTTTTAGATAAGAGGCCGAATCATAGATTTTTTGGCTAAGTATAAGCTGCATTGACTTTTTTGGAGGGATTATCACATTGACATTTCTCATTGTATCTTATCAAATTCACCTCATTACTGATTCACCCTATCCTTGTGTGTGATTCTATCCCCATCTTAACATGTGCCATTCCCAGAAATAGCCATTCACCAGATATCCATCAACCCTTTTACCTGCACCATCTTGAATGGTTGTTGTGAACCCAAATAAGCACGGTCAATCTTGAGCTGCTGTGCACGGTTCCTGACATTTCCCCTGGACATGGCAGATGGGGGAAATTGGCATCCTGCTTGTGGCAGGGGACCTGGAGGTCTTGCTTTGGGGTGGTACACAAGTGGGACTCAGGTTCCAGTTCCTGAGCTGGGTGTCTGTCCCTAAGCGCACAGTGTTCTTGATACAGCATTACAATGATAGTTGCCACTGCATCCCGAGGTCCTCATGTCAGATGCTTAATGGGGTACATGCGGCCAGAACCCATAACGTTGATGTCAGTATCTGTCAATGGAGGTCTCTGCACAAGCAATGAGCAAAATCACCAGGTACCTGCTCAGATTTCTGATGTCAGTCTTGTTTGGGTGTTTGGTAAGATTGGAAGCTGAATATTAACGAAGCGAGTTGGTCATGAATAAGGTATTTAACAAGCTTATTTGACAACTTGTGTTGCATAGTGAGAAACCCATCATGCCACTTGTCAACAACATGAAAGATACAGCGAAGGGTTCTTGTGGTGCAGTGGAAGTGTCCCTATCTGTGAGCCTGGTGAGCTGAATTTATTTTTACATAATTAAAACTAATGGTAAAATACAAAATTTTATTTAATAAGCACCTGCGGATTTGTCATTAAAATAGCGTGAAAGACTGAAGTCCTCAAATCTACTTAAGAGACTGTTGATGTTAAAACTATTGAGAAGGTAAACAGCTACCTTACAACCCTAACTGATTCGAAATATATCTGTAATAACACATCTGGAGTTAGTAACTTCTTTGTTACCACAGGCATTCTAGGTACTAGGTCAAAAGGTCATCAAAACTTGTTTTCTGCTAAAGGTTTGTTTACCAGGTCCCAGCGAGTGATTTTCTTTCAAATCCTTTAAAATCTTTTAAAATGTGCGTCTTAGCAGACATTATATAAAAAAAATTATACGATCTCATAAACCATAATTGTCATAGAGATAATCAAGAACAGCTGACATACTTGATAACGCATTAAAGATTTTCTTCTCTTGCTTTGAAGTTATCCTTTCCAACATGTACATCAAATGGTGATGAAAACAAGTGTACGGTGTTCCATGTTCCAAAGCAATGTCAACCCAGTCCCGAACACACTGTAAAGGGGTTTCGTCATATCCGGCAAACATAGCAGGATTTGCTAAAAGGCCTCGTGCAGCCATTACACCTGAATACAGTAAACAAAGGGAAACAGTTTAAAGGCAGACAAACATGAAAGCGTGTGTGTATTTTTGAAAAAAACCTGACAAATTAACAATAGTCTCTTCAGTCATAACGGCTAGATAATATGATCCATGGACATTGCTAATTGCCAATTGTGCTGAGTGACCTGGACAGTGATTTCTCCTGGTCAGTTTTCCAACTTCTCACTCAAGCTTTTAGTGCGAGCCAACTCAGACCCCCACAAGGACTTAAGATTCTACATTTGCAGCTAAGTTGTCATAATTTAACTATCTAGAATTAACAATCACAACACATTTAAAATGTCCATTACTTTCTTGGTCTTCTGGAGCCCATTTTAGACATTGTACTTGTTGATAGTGGAGGTGGGGAGGTGTAGTCATGAAAGTGGAGTAACTATATATTATGGTGTTGGGAACAATTTTTTTATTGCTCAGCACCCTGGCAGCTGCACCATCTGCAGTGAAACTGCAACTATTCAAATTCAGATAAAAACTTAAACTCTGGATTTATAGAATCATAGAATCCCTACAGTGTGGAAACAGGCCATTCGGCCCATCGAGTCCACATCGACTCTCTGAAGAGAATCCCACCAAGACCCACCCCCAAACCCAATCTCTGTAACCTCATATTTCCCATAGCTAAGCCAGCCAGCCTGCACATCTTTGGACTTTGGTAGAAACCCACGCAGACACAGGGAGAATCTCTAAGGTTTTAGAGTAGATTTGTAGCCTGGGTTGTGGATGTTGTAGTTGGTTGGCTCACCGAGCTGGTTCGTTGTTCCGCAGACGTTTCATTACCCTGCTGGGTAACATCATCAGTGCAGCCTCCAATAAAGCACTGTTGTATTTTCCCACCTGGTATTTAAACTCTGGAGTCAGTTGAACTGGATTACCTCACTTCCGGTTTTCCTTCGCAGTGCAGTGTATACGGGGTCGAGCTCTCTGTGTTTGTTGATGGCCAACTGATGTTCTTGTACCCTTGTTATTAATTTCCTTCCTGGTTGTCTGATGTAGTGTTTGTCACAGTCTCTGCACGGAATCTTGTATATGACATTGGTCTTCTCCAGAGTGGGTAGCGGGTCTTTGATTCGGGTGAGCAGTTGTCGTAGGGTTGATGTGGGTTTGTGTGCTACTCAGATGCCCAGTGGCCGTAGGAGTCTTACTAAGATCACTTCTTACTTCTACGACCACTGGGCATCAGAGTAGCACACAAACCCACATCAACCCTACAACAACTGCTCACCCGAACCAAAGACCCACTACCCACACTGGAGAGGACCAATGTCATAAACAGGATTCCGTGCAGAGACTGTGACAAACAGGAAGGAAATTAACAATAAGGGTACATGAACATCAATTGGCTACAAAAAGACACGACCAATACTCACTGATCTGTATCCACATGGATGAGGAGAACTACCAATTTGATTGGGACAACACCAAGATCCTGGGACAAGCAAAGCAGAGACAAGCATGGGAATTCCTAGAAGCCTGGTACTCCACGAAGAAAGCCATCAACAAACACAGAACTCGACCCCATATATACTCCATTGCGAAGGAAAACCGGAAGTGAGGTAATCCAGCTCAACGGACTCCAGAGTTTAAATAACAGGTGGGAAAACACAATGGCGCTTCATTGGAGACTGCACTGATGATATTACCCAGCAGGGTAATGAAACGTCTGCAGAACAAACCAGCTTGGTGAGCATACCAACCACAACAGGGAGAATGTGCATACTCCACACAGGCAGTCACCTGAGGGCAGAGTCAAACCCAGGTCCCTGGCGATTTGAGGCAGCAGTGCTAACTACTGAGCCACCATGCAACATTTTCAGCAAATCCTGCCATGAGAATAGGAAATCCAATAAAAGGTTCAGAATGGTAACTCTGGATGAGCCAAACTCATTCATGTTTGTTATTTGACCGTGCCAACCAACTGGATTGGAGTTACGCCAAGCTAGAGTGCAAAATCATGGGCAAACCATCATTTGACATTGAGACCTCTGTGAAACAATGCTCAAACCCTGCAAATATCATTAAGTCTGAGAAAAGTTAAAAGTGCTTTCTGAGGTCTTGAAAAGAGTTTTTGAATGCCTTCCTATTCTTCTGCCTATTTCCCTAGCTTGAAGCCACAAAAGCCATACAGATGCTCCAGGATTTCACACTGCAGCATGAAAACGTCAAAAACAAATTTGACTGCATAAGTGATGACATGGCAGACTGTATTGCACTCATCTGAAGATAGACCGGGTCTTTCAGATTTGATTCTTAACATTTTTAAGTCCTTTTAATGTCCAAGGTCAGGTTATCAAAAGTTGCTAACAGATTGCAAAGTTTTTTTTTTCTATTTTGCTGCAAAACGTGGCTTCATGTTTTTAAAGAGCACGTTGTAGGCAAATCAGTTACATATGGCTTCCTCAGCTATGCTCAAACTATGGTTATCCGAAATATGCAGACAGGATCCCTGCTGTTCAACTTCATGATTCTACGATACAAGACACACTGCAGAATCACACCAAGGATTCTTTGACAGCACCTTCCAATTCCAATAGCTCTTACCACCTAAAAAGATAAGGACAGCACATGCATGGCAGCACCATCATCTGCAAGTTTCCCTCCAAGCCACATATAATCCTGACTTGGAACCATATCACTATTCCTTCACAACCTCTGACCAAAAATTATTACATGAAGGAACTGAGTAACAACATAAGCCTTATTATATTGCCCTATCTTTATATTGTATTATAAAAAAATCAGTTCTGCATTTTGTGAATCTTCATTTAAAAAGAACATGCCTGAACAGAAATGTTTGAGTGAAAAATAAACTAACTTTCAAGCAAATGGCAAATGTTTGAGGAGGTGAATATATTGATAATTTTGTCAAAAACATGCTAAAACCTTTTGCATTTGGCTCAGTGAGTTCAGTTTTAAGCAGCAGTCATACATGGCCAGGAGAGTTTTGGTTCAGTTCCTTCTACTATATGGGAAATTAGCTAATCTCAGTTGAGCAGCATTAGGAACATCACATTTGCCTCAAAGTTACTGGTTTAACAAGAAGTGGTGGAGGTGGAGGAGTAGAACAAAGATTCCCATTCCTAACTGCTATTCAATGTACTTATTGGTTGCAAGTACAACATATGGGTGTTAATAGAAAACGTAATTGACTTTGCCTGAAAACACTGCTCCCATTACATAGTACTGCTGGATTTGCTGCTAGGGGTGACTTATACCTTTGGAGATACATTGCAGCAAGAAGTTTATGCTTTCATGAAATGACAGACGGAGTTAAAGAAAACTGAGAAAAAAAGTGACAAAACATAATTGCTTTTGGATAATGGCTAACATTTACTATAAATTGGGCAGAGAACATCAAAATTCAACTACCATTGCTGCTTTCAATGGAGCAGATTAAATATTTAAGAGGCATCAGTTCCAGTGCCAAGTATTTAATTTAAGATAGATAAATGTTGGAAAGCTCAGTGAACCTGGCAGCATAAAGTAACATAGCAAATGTTTTGCATGCAATGTGACTTTTCCTCAGAATTGCCCCCAAATTATTAAATATTAATTAATTTTAAATCGTTGTTGTATTTTTTCCAAAGATTTTTGAAAGAAATTATTAAATAGCCTGTAAATAGAAGTTGTTCTCTTTAAACAGAACTTATGAAATAATTATTAAATCTTAAAATTTTGGAGTTAGTATATTTTCTTCACCAAAGTTCCTTACCATCAACTCCTGTGAACTGACGCACGTAATCAATATCTTTATGACTCCTTATATCTCCATTTGCTATTACTGGTATATTTAAATTTTCCTTAATAATCTTGATTGTATCATAGTGCACAGGTTGATGTCGTTCCTCTATTGTTCTGCCATGGACAGTGACCCAAGAGATTCCAGTCGCTTCAACCTTTCGACAGAGATCTACTGTTCTTGCTAGATCTTTGTGTATTCTGCAATGAAGACAAATCATTGAATACTATAGATGAATTTAAACCTGGAATTAATTGAATCATGTATCAATCTTAGATTAAGTAATTTCAGAACAATATTTAAACAGTGGCAGTAAGACATATATGTGGGGTACTAATGCCTATTGAACAGATCACTGTCTTATTTGGTCATTGATGAATATCTATTTAGTACCAAAACCCCTCAAGTCCTGAAAGTCCAAGAAGAAGATCCATTTTACAGCCCTAAAGGAATCTGCCTAAGAGGAATTCCAAGTACAGCTCATGACCAATCTGGAAAATGTCCACACATCTAACAGTGGGATCAAATAAGGTAAGTTACAGTACATTCCTTGCCCAGACCATCGAGGTCGAGCATCAGCATTACCAGCAATTGTTCAAGGAAAATCATGTCGGAATATGTGACCTCTTAGATTAATATCGAGGAACCTTCATTGTTTGACAGAACAACCAACGGCTGCAAATCAAAAAGGCAGTGTTCTAATAGCTCGAAGGCAAATCCGTAAATCAAAGGAGAAGAGAAATCTTGAGATATCCGACACTGTATGATATCATGACATACAGGATTTTTTTAAGCCACCAGGACCATCTACAGACTAAGTTCAATTGACAAAATTCCATTCACTCACAAGATGGTGTTCTTCTTCTTTGATTACGATACGATCCACCAATGCTTGACAAAACAGTTTCAGCAACTGTGAATCCACTACGGCACCAGACACTTCATAGAGGTGAATCATTATTGATTGGAGAGTTGCAACAAGTAATCAAATTGATGATAAACAATAAAGCTTGTTGTCCTAATGTATTACACTTTTGGTTTTCAAAGCTGGCAGACTTTTTGTCACATCCAGTACTCATGTAATCATTTTACAGATTGAGAGAAAACCGAACTCTCTCCCTGTCACCCCACCCTCAACTTCAGATATGCATCAACAGAAATCATATATATGAAAGGAAATAAATCAAGATGTGGGAACTATTCAGGTATTTTCCTATTGTCCATCGTAGGCTAAATCCTGATATGCATATTCCTGAATCTCTACTTCTTGTGGCTGAGACAATCCTCCCAGGGATAGAGTGTGGACTTTTCTGGCAACAAAATCCAAGAACAATGTCAAAAACAAGACCAGGACTTCTTCACTGCATTCAGCAACTTGGCCAAAGCATTTGATCCAGCGAATCACAAGGCACTGTTGATTGTGTTTCAAAGATTTGGATCTCCAAGAAACTTCACAGTTATGCAATTGCTGCATGATGATATGGCTACAACTGTCCTGAATGGAAATCTGAAACAAATTACACCAAAATCTGGACAGGGGTCAAATAAGGTTGTGTCATAGTTCCCATACTGTTTGCAGTCTAGCCAACAGAGGCTATTCACCTCAAAAATCACCTCCGATTCCAGTATTCAATACTGTCTAGATGGAAAACTCTTTAATCTCAGTTGCCTCTGTATCAAAACTGACCACCATGGATATATATGGTGTAAAATTTGCAGGTAATCAAATTGCTATCACGCACTCAACACCAGTCTTGAAAGCTACTCTCAATCTCAATTCCGCATTAAGTACCTTTGCCTGTCCTTGAATGTTGCCTATCAAGACACATAAATCAATCCCCACCTGGTCAGTCAAACATTTCACCACCCATACAAGTTAAAGGAGAGGCTCTGGAACATACTGACTACTACCCACACCTAAGCAGCCACCTCTCTCAAAAAGCCACTATTAATGAGGATCAGCTGCAGATCACCTTTGCCAGCTCAGCTTTCTACAAACAATGGCAATCAGTGTATGACAGTGTTTCCGACGTCAACAAAAATCCCAATATACAAAGTAGTTGTCGTTTCCATACTGCTATATTTCAGCAAGACTCTTTCTAATCCTCTGGATTCAAATGGAAGACCATATATATACACAAAGGGAGGCAATGGCCTAGTGGTATGATCACTGGACCGTTAAACCAGAGACCCAGATAATGTTCTGGGGACCGGGGTTCAAATCCCGCCACGGCAGATGGAATTTGAATTCAGTAAATATCTGGAATTAAGAGTCTAATGATGACCATGAATCCATTGATGATTGTTGGAAAAACCCATCTGGTTCACTAACGTCCTTTCGGGAAGGAAACTGTCATCCTTATCTAGCCTACATGTGACTCCAGATCCACAACAATGTGGTTGACTCTGAACTTTAACTTTAACAATTAAGGATGGGCAATAAATGCTGCCTAGCCAGCGACGCCCTCATCCCGTGAATGAATAAAGAAGAAAAAAAAAATAAATACATGTCAGTATCTCTCTTGAGGCTGGTTCCTCAAGTCACCAGGCAAACCACCTGAGAAAACAACTTCAAATGCTGTGTCTGGATGGCCAAGAACTGTTACCCACAGCAAGTGCTGTTTTCTCAACTTCCAAATGGATAATTTTTCATGGACTAACAAAGAAAATGCTCAAAGATATCTTGAAACTCTCCTTTAAGTGTGGTAATGTTGACGGGAAGCAACTTGCTATCAACCTTCCAGGTAGATGGTCTTATGCCTCCAGGCCAGCAGCATTTGGTTCAAGTCTCAGCTCAGGACCTGATAGCCAGGGAAGGTGTGTCACAATGCAGCCAAATAAGTTGATTATCAATCTATTAATCCTCCACTATGTCTGTGGTAGACAGTAAGAGCAAGAGTCGTCAGCCATAACTACATGGTAGTTGCAGCGCAACAGTCCCCTGCATCAATAGGCTCTATGCGCATAGAATCATAGAATAATAAAGCTGTGCAACACAGAAACAGACCCCTTGGTCCAACTCGTCTATGCCGACCAGATATCCTAAATTAATCTAGTCCCATTTGCCAGCATTTGGCCTATATCCCTCTAAACACTTCCTATTCATATACCCATCCCAATGCCTTTTAATATTCTAATCGTACCAGCCTCCACCACTCCCTCTGGTTGTTCATTTCATACATGCACCACCCTCTGCATGAAAAGTTGCCCCTTAAATCTGTTCCCTCTCACCTTAAACCTGTGCCGTCTAGTTTTGGACTCCGCTACTCTGTGGAAAAGACCTTGGCTATTCACCCTATCTATACTCCTCATGATTTTATAAACTTCTTTAAGGTCACCCCTCAGCCTCCAATGCTCGAGGGAAAATGGTCCCAGTCTATTCAGCCTCTCCCTATAGCTCAACCCCTCGAAACCTGGCAACATCTTTGTAAATTTTTTCTGAATCCTTTCAAGTTTCACAACATCCTTCCTATAGCACGGAGACCAGAATTGCGCGTAGTATTCCAAAATTGGCCCAACCAATGACGTATACAGCCGCAGCACGACCTCCCAACTCCTGTACTCAATGCACTGACCAAGAAAGATAAGCATACCAAACATCTTCTTCACTTATCCTGTCTACTTATTTTCAAGGAACTATGAACCTGCACGCCAAGGTCTCTTTGTTCAGCAACACTCCCCAAGACCTTACCATTAAGCATTTAAGTCCTGTCCTGATTTGCCTTCCCAAAACACAGCACCTCACGTTTATCTAAATTAAACTCCATCTGCCACTCCTCGGCCCACCTGTCCATCTGATCAAGATGCTGTTGTACTCTGAGGTAGCCTTCTTGGCTGTCCCCTACACCACTAAATTTGGTGTCCCTTACCTCTTATGTTCACATCCAAATCGTTTATATAAGTGATATGTAGGTTCTGGCCTTGAGAAGGCATCATCTTTGTTCTGAGACATAGCAGTCATGCAAAATGGCAACAACTTGTTCATCAAGCTGTATCACACTTTGTGTCAGACAAGGCACAGCAGTGGCGGAGAAAGAAAGAAGAAGTAAAAGCTGCAGTGTGGATTCCAGTACCTTGTGGGATTCCTGCCTGAGATGTCCAAAGATCTGTGGGTAAAAAAATGGCCAAGTGACACGGAACTCATGGAAGAAACTAGTGGCCCTGACTGGATGTTGTCTACAAACTGAGGAAGAGCCATTTATGACAAGCAAAATGGGATTAGATACAAAATGAAGTTTCTCAGATTTTGAAGAAAATCTTTTGGCAATGCCGTTCATTTAGATTCATTGAGTTTTTGTAGTTTCTTGTTAATATTGCAGTGTCACAAGCACTGTCACACCAAGTCAAACACATTGTCAGACAATGGGTAAGATGAGAAGAAAAGTGCTTGTCTGATAAGACTTGCAGCTTTGAGTGACTGTTTTGCAAAGTTAAGAACAACTTGTATGAGTTAAATTGAGGAGGACAATTATGCTGGAAAGTGTATAACAAACAGAATGACATCTCCCCTGTTTCCGTGCTCTAGCTTACCATCACAGTAAAATAAGAGAGCTTTCAAACTGTTAAAATTTTGAATTTTTGTTCAAAGAACAATTAATGATGAGTGTGTAAAGCAAAGGAACTATGTTCTGCAACATTTATAAGAAAATTTATCTACTTTCTGACAAGTTCACACAAATTTATTTCGTATGTTAGGAAGATACCACTAAAACAATATTATGATAACTGTTTCATGTCTTATGCTGTGAAGAAGGGTTTCACTGTAAAAGATTTTACCTATTGTATTAATCCTAGCTGTATAAGAGCTGCCCCAGTTCAACATGAACATTTGTGTAAAATCATCATGTAATTATAAACCTAACGTACTCTTGCATTTTTATGACTAAAGTATTTACCTTATCTTAATTGAGACTGAAAAATTAGGATGTTCCACTTGATTCCTGACCTGACGCACCATGTCCTGAACCAATTCTGGTTTATTTATTAGGCAAGCACCATATCCTTCTGCTATTGCCCACCTGTTAGAAAATTTAAATGTACGTTATGCATACTGCAATATCAATGAAATACAAAATAGCTGAAAAGTTGATAGATATGTCTCACAAATTGTCTTTTCTTTAAATGCAACAGTAGATGGAATAGAATGAGGGAAAATGAGGTTATTCACTTTAGCAGGAAAAATAGAAGAGCTGAATACTATTTAAATGGCAACAGACTGCAGAAAGCTGCAGCACAGAGAGTTTTGGGGGTCCCAGTGCACTAGGCAATGGCCTATTGGTATTATCATTAGATCATTCATCCAGAGACCAGATAATGTTCTGGGGACCCAGGTCTGAATCCTGCCATGGCAGATGGTGGAATTTGAATTCATTGTAAATCTGGAATCAAGAGTCTAATGATAACTACAAAACTATTGTTGAATGTCAGAAAACTTCACTTTGTTCACTGTTGTCCTTACCTGGTCTAGCTTACAAGTGACTCCAGGCTCACAGCAATGTGTTGACATTTAACTGCCCTCTGGGCAATTACTGCTGACCTAACTAGTATTGTCCACATCCCGTGAATGAATTTTTAAAAACATCTCAACATGCTACCATCCAAGTTCAGTAGGTAATACAGAAGGCAAATGGAATGTTGGCCTTTATTTCAAAGGGCATGGAGTATAAAATAATCTTGCTAAAACTATACGAGACACTGGTCAAACCACAGATGGAATGTTGTGATCAAGATGTGGTCCCCTTATCCTAGCAAAGATATACTAACATTGAAGGCAGTTGAGAGAATGCTCACTAGGTTGGGGGTGGGGGGTGGATTTCTTAGGAGAGGTTGAGTAGGTGGACTTGTACAAGTTAGAGTTTAGGAGAATGAGAGGAGACCTAACTGAAACATAAGATTCTTAGGAGCTTTACAGGTTAGATGTAAAGAAGTTGTTTCCTCCTGTGGGAGAATCTAGGACCACAGGGCACAATCTCAGAGTAAGGAGTCACTAGTTAAGACTGATATAAGGAGAATTCTTTTTCTCTCAGAGGTGGTGAAGATGGAATTCTTTAGTACAGACGGCTGTCACTGCCACTTAAGTATATTCAAGGTTGAAATACACAGTTTTTACCTAATAAGGGAATCAAGGGCTATGGGGAAAAGGGAGGAAAGTCGGGTTGATGGTTATCAGATCAGCCATTATTTTATTGGATAGTGGAGTGGAGCTGGTGGGCTAAATGGCCTACTTCTGCTCCTATATATTATAACCATACATTAAAGCAAAGTAGTAGATTTCACACATTTGTAATATGAAGAACAGAAATAACATTTAAAAACAATAGGAAGCAAAGTGAAAAGGCAACACAAAACTAAAAACAGCAGTACCAATTCTTTTTCAGGGTTCTGAAGAACAGTCTTATTTGACTCAAAATGTTAAGTGTGTTTCTCTCTCTCCAGCGCTTTCCGTTTTTATTTTTCATAAAAGTAAGGATGTCATGCTGAAGCTATACAGGACATTGATGAGATAACATCTCAAATGCCTTGTGCAAGTTTAGTGTCCTTACTTAAGCATCTAAATGCTTGGGAGATGTTGAATGGAGGTTTGAGTGGAGATTGATACCTGGAATGAGGGTGTTGCTTTTTGAGGAAAGATTAGATAGCTGGGCTTGTTTTCACTGAAGTTTAGAAATAGCAAGGGATGATATGAATGAAGTTTATAAAATCTAGACTAGTCTTGATAAAGTGGACATGGAAAGGATGTTTACTCTTGTCAGTGAGTCAAGAGTAAGAGGACACAGTGTTGAAAGGAGTGGTTACTCTTTTAGGACAAAGGTGAAGGGAGTTTTTTCTGAGGGTTATGCAACTTTGTAACTCTCTGCCTTAGAAGGCATTGGAGGCAATGTCATTGAATATTTTTAAGGCAAATGTAGACTGGGTTCTTATCGGGTCGTGGATATTGGAGCTAATTGGGAATGTGGAATTCAGAACAGAATTGAATGGCCTACTTATGTTCTTAATTCATAAGAATGTTTAGCAAAAAAAAAACTGGTGGAACGTTGGCCTTTTTAACTAGAAGACAAGACAATAATGAATGATGAAGTCATGACTCAAGTGTACAAAGCTCTGGTTAGACCTGGTTAGAAGACTGAGAAGATCTGGGCACTACGTCTGGGGAGGATATTGGCTTTGTAGAGAGTGCAGTACCTCGTCTCTAAGGGTTCTATTACAGCCATATTTAGAAGGCTAAATGGTGATTTGATTAAAATTTCAACATATAAAAGGAAAACAAATAAGATGGGAAGAGAAAAATCATTTCTGCTTGTTGAAAAATCTAGCACTGGGTTAACTGTCTAAAAATTAGGGCCAAACGCTATAAAGTCAAAGAGGATTAAAAGTTTTAATTCTATTCCACAAGCAGCAGTAGATGCTCAATTAATTGCTCTTTTAAAATCTGAGATTGATGTAATTTTGTTCCTCAGTGGTTTAAGGGATATGTGGAAAAGTTGGGCAAATCGAGTCTAGTCATAGATCAGTCATGACGTCGCTGAATGTTGGAACACTGTCAGCTGTGGCTCAGTTGCTAGCACTTCATCAAGGTTCTGTTCAAGTCCCACGCCAAGATGTGAGCACAAAAAATCAAGTTTGACACTGCTGCGCAGTATGGAGTGAGCAATGCACTGTTGCAGATGCTGTCCTTTGGTTGAGGTATCAAACAAAGACGCTATCCACCCACACATAGGGCACGAAAACTCTTATGCAACTATTTGGAAGAAGAGCAGGGATCATTCCCAGGTTCCTGGCCAATATTTATATCTCAATAAACATCACATAAACGGAATTTTGGCTTGTGATAGTATACTGTTTGTGGTAGTTTGCTGAGCAGATTTCCTACATTGCAACAGTGACTATATTCCACAAGTACTTGATTGGCTGTAAAGCACAAAGGTGCTGGCCGTAAAAAGCACAGTGCAAATGCAAGTCTTTTTTTCTTTTTCAAATAGACCTGAGCTGAATTGCTAACATCTGTTACTATGATCCTGTAAATAACATAACTTTCAGCATTTACAGAAGCAAAATGATTATTCTTATGTTTATCCTACCTTTGTGGACAACCACAATTCAAGTCAACACCATCTGCAAACGGAGAAACTATACAAGCAGCATCAGCTAGATCCTGTGATCGATTAGCAGCAAACTGCACAACCAGAGGACGATCAACTGTCAAAATAAAAAGTGTGTGACATGTCATTGTAGAGTTTTCTTTAGACTATTTCTGTCATGTTTAACTTGTCTCTACCTCCTTTGGTTTGGCAGCTGACCTAGCAATCTTCTGTACTAAGAATGTAATTAAGTTGTGCTCCAAACTTGATAAACACTGAAGACTCTGTCTGGTGATTAGTTCAACCTGTAGTACCACGTTGGAATATCAACATTTTTAAGAGGAACTCCTTTAACAGAGCAGGTGTCCACATTAGAAGGGTATAGACTTGAGATCCACTCACAATAGAACAAGTCAGCAGAGATGGGATGTTAATTGAGACATAAATGTCAGTCAGCATACATACTAGATGAACTCCCTTGCTCTTCCGTAAATAGTGACGAAGGACAGTGACTGAATTTAGCTATCTCATCGAAGATGGGTTCGAATGCATATAAATTATAAATGGAAGGCCCCAAACGGAGCTAGTATTTGCATTATAAAGTACTGCAGATTGAGTGTGGCATGATAAGCATGTAGAAAATGTAGTTAATGGTGTGTGAAGTTGA